ATGGGCTGCCCAGGGAGGTGGTGGAGTCACCATCCCTGGAAGTCTTCAAAAGACTTTTAGATGTAGAGCTTAGGGATATGGTTTAGTGGGGACAGTTAGTGTTAGCTTAGAGGTTGGACTCGATGATCTTAAGGTCTCTTCCAACCTAGAAATTCTGTGTGATTCTGTGATTCTGTGATTCTGTATAGAGCAGTCTAATACTACGGAATAGAGTAGCCAGCAGAGGTGAGACAGGTTTTTTGATATAATGAAAGCCATCAGAAAGCTGATTCCACTTAGATGACTGATATGGGGAGGTCAGGAGTAACCTGGCCAGGAGAAATGTGAGATTTGGGGGAGGGAAGAGAAGGGAGGAGGAGCTCAGAAGCTTACCTTTGTAGAGGTACGAGGGTTCATGTAATGTTGAGGCTGCTGTAACACTGACTTCGAACAGTCTTGTAGGGCCTATAAACTGTTTTCAACAGTAACAATAATCCCTCAACCTAAACATTACACAAACACCCTGACAGGACTCCACTCTTGTAATGCAGAAATCAAAGTATCACCTGAAGAAAAACTCAGCCCATAGCCCCTTTCCCTTACATTTACTCTCTTGCTCACCCAAATCACTGCCCCTAACACTAACATCAAATTGCTCTATTTCATCCTAGACTTCTTGACAGATGTAAACAAAACCCTTAAGCATAATGTGTGCCCATACCCTAACCAGAGACCTGACACCACAAGCAGAACACCAAATGCTCCATCTAAAACTTTGTTTAATCTATAACCCAGAAAGGTCAAATCTAGTCCCTAGGAGACTAGAGAGAGGTCAGCTCTACCTCAGGATCTCTTGCCCCAGCAGGAGGAATGTGACTGTGGCAGGGACTGTGAGGTCACTTCTACCTCTGCAGTGGATAGGGCAGCAGCAGGAACATGTCACAGAAAGGGACTGGGAGGTCACTTGTGTCTGGAGGTGGCAGGTCACACTTGCCTTCTCCCTGGGATCTGCACTTTTGGGCTGACATCTGGTAGTGGCCCTGCTAGGCCAGCAGAAGGCACCTGCTTGGAATGCTGACTGGGGGATCCCCTCTGCCTCCAGAGCCAGAAGGACCCAGACAGAAAGAAGGCCCCCAGATGGGTTGTCCTGTCCCTTCTGCTTGAGTCCATGACTGGGCAGCAGCAGGCACAAGGCTTGGCTGTGTCTCCACAAGAAGTTGCAAGGCCAGCAGCAGGCCCCTGGCTTGGAAGCTGCTGCTGAGGTGACTTGTGTCTGGTTGGCTGAGAGGCCGCAAGGAGCCTGCTGGGTTGGGATGCCTACTTCAGGAGTGGTTTCCACCCTTATGGAGCTTCCTTTGATAGTGGGAAAGAGCAGGAGAGAAAAAGTGCCACAAAGCGTGCACCATGGAATGTTGGCACCGGCCATGAGGAGGAAGAAATATCCAGGGGAACAACTGCTCCGTCTGCTAGAGTTAGAGGCAAAGAAGGTGTTAAGAGCCTCAGCCTTTACCTCCTTTCTTGTTACCAGTTTTCACCTCACATCCAATAAAGGATGATGATTCTCCCTAATCTTCCTTTATGTGAAGTATTTATATAAGCAGTTTTTATTTTCTTTGACAGTAATATACCGATGGAGCTGCAGCTGGGCTTTGGCCCTTCTAATTTTGACCTGCACAGCCCCATAACATTCATGACACAGCTCCAGACAAACTGAAAACATGCATGGGAGGAAAGCACAGAAGACTTTCCTGCAAGTCCCGATGCTGCTGTCTTGTCAGAGATAGCACAATCACATGGAATTAGAACTGTCTGCCTGCAGACCTTAACGCCTGACAGAATGGAGAGTCAGTCCACGGGAACCTTGAGAAACCTCAAGATTTGTCTAAAGAAATATCGTGCCCTTTACAAGAAGAAGAGCCCTGTCCTGCACTGATGAAGAGTAACCCTACACATCAGGGCAGTGTGGGATGCTGCTGAGTGAGCAGTGCCCAGGAGGAGGAGGGCCTGGGCACCACGAGGGATGTCATACGAGCAGTGGTGCCTGCTAACCGGGAACCAGGACAGCTTCCTACAGAGCTGCCTTATGAGGAGCATGGCAACCAAGAAAATATGAGTTACCATACTCAGCTCAGGTTGAATGTGACACTACCCACAGAAGGGTCTGCATCCAGCAGTGGAAGATTTGGGAGTCCAAGAGTCCCTCAGACACTCTGGTGAGGAGAGGAGCAATGGCTGTGGCAAGGATGAAAGTCCCAACAGGACCCAGGTCTTTGTGTGCATGGCTATGGCTGTTGTCTCTGTCACTGAGGACTGTGAGGAGACAACCGATTGTTAAAACACCAGGGCCTCATTGCCTCCTCGCTCCCACCCATGAACCAGGCAGGGTTCGTACCATTCTCCTGCACTTGGCCATGCACATCCCCATCTCCTACTGCCCCACAAAGAGCATTGAGCAAGGTGTGGAGGGAAAGGATCTCCCTTCCTACGGGTGAAGGGTCAAGGCCTGGCCCTTGTGCTTGGTGACACACATCCAGTTTTCCTACACATCAGTGTCACTTTCACATTGCCTTTGTCTCCTTGTCCTCACTGCCTCCAGGGTTCTGCTCTAACGAGCTCCAAGGGAGGCTGTGTCAGTGCTGGCCCTCAGGGGGACACTGCAGGAAACTTGCCTCTGACTTGCACTTCTGGAGAGATGTCTTCAATTGTCTCTGAGTGCCTGAGGTTTGTGGGCTCATCAGCCAAGCCCCCAGAGGGGTGATTCCAGTGCCTTGGGCTGGTGCTGTGCTGCTGAGCTGGACCAGGCTCGTGGGACAGAGAGAGCTCGTGGCAAGAGGGCCTTGGTGAAAGAGAGACAGCTGTGCCCAGGAGCAGCTCCTCTGCACAGCGCAGCAGGGCTGGGGGCTCTGACCGCGGCTGGCACACAGAGAGGACAGAAGGAGAGAGGGCTTGGAGGCACTGAGGAGCGCAACAACAGAGGGCAGCGTGTGGCAGGACACATCTGCAGGCTCTTGACACCGTGAGGCTCTGGCAGCAAGGCACTTCAGGTGGGGTTGCCAGAGGGGTCTTCTACAGCTGGCACATACGATGGCCAATAGTATCTCTCAGGATGGGTCTTATTCTACCTGTAATATGGCATAGAAAATGTTTTAGAGAATGGTATTTTTGAGGGGGCATTTTAACAGGAAGACTGAGGATTGGTTTATTTGAAATTGAAGACTTACTTGGATTCTGTGCTTTCAGAGTCTTGGTGGGGAGGAGAAGCAGGTTTCATGACAATGAATTTTCCCGATTGTAGAGGATATGGAGACTCCAAGATTATTCCAGTGAGAGATCAATATGGCAACAATGAAACTTCAGGCACCTCAGACTAAAGACTGAAACAACAACGTTTGTTGTCTCCTCAGGACTTATCAGGTCTTTAGGAGCTGCAACCCCCGTGATGCCCTGTACTCAGGAAGTGCACAGCTTGTGGGATGGGGTCTGTAAGGAAGGACTTAGAAGATGCATGGGAACAGAGATCCTGCTTCCAGCAGGGACATAGGAAGGCAGTAGAGATATGAACAGGGCAGGTGGTGAGAGGGAGCTGTTGCCAGAAATGCTGTGCAAGGAAGGGCTCAGGCACCTTGCTGCCAGACCCTGTAGGGAAGGTGTCTTCCCTGGGACACCCCCTGCTCCCCTCTCCCACCAGCACAGCCTCTGCCCTCAAGCCACCGGTTTCCCCAGCAGGATCTGCCTCATCTGCAGGCAGAGCTGCAGCACAGGAGGGTCTGCTGAGTGTCCGTCTGTCCCTCCCTGGCCTTGCCTCCCCTGGCAGCAGCACGCTGGCATTCCTCCTGGCTTCTCCAGCTGGCCGTGCTGCTGCTGGTCTTGTTCCCAGGCTGGCTGCGGATGGGGGTTTCACATGCCCGTGGGGTGAGCCCTCGGTGTGCTTGGGGGAAGGGGAGTACAGGGACAGGGTGAGGGGTGTGGAGATGGGCACTTTGAGCCTGGATGTCTCTGCTCTCAGCAGCCTCTTTGTTCTTTTCAGTTAAACATGTGTAGATCTTCCCTGCAGCTCTCACAGGGCATCTGAGACCGCACTTGATGGACAGACTGGCTGTCCTCCCTGAAGAACACTGTGCGCTAAAGTGACAGTCCCTTTTTCTGTGATGATGATGATCTGCAAGGATTCACTTTGAGTCCAGCAGAAATAGCCAGGTCTGTGGCTTGGAAACATTCCTCAGGAGTGGTGGGACAGCTGAAACAAAAAACTCAAAAAAACCAAAAATTTTAAATAAAATTAAAAAAAGCCTCCACAACTCTGCTCTGCAGTTTGGTGAACTGGGAGCAACACTGGGGAAAAACTCTCTGAGATCAAGAGGGAAGAAAAACTGACATTTCCACATGTTCCTCTTCACCTCTTGCTGTAGGACAGGACTGACTCCTGCATTGCCGACAGTAGAGCACCATGCTCCAAGAGACAGCCTCAGGCAGAATGAATCAGGATGCATGAAAGGGATCTGCCAAATGTCTGCCAGAAAGTACACAATATAGGCAATGATTTTAAATGAAAAACTGAATTTGTTTCCCTCTGATACATTTCTTGTACTTTATTCCTCTCATCCTCTTCTTTGTTCAGGACCACATCCCGAAAAAAGCAGATGTCCAACAGAAGCACCATCACTGAGTTCCTGCTGCTGGCATTCGCAGACACGCGCGAGCTGCAGCTCCTGCACTTCGCGCTCTTCCTGGGCATCTACCTGGCTGCCCTCCTGGGCAACGGCCTCATCCTCAGCGCCGTAGCCTGCCACCACCACCTCCACACCCCCATGTACTTCTTCCTCCTCAACCTCGCCCTCCTCGACCTGGGCTGCATCTCCACCACTCTGCCCAAAGCCATGGCCAATGCCCTCTGGGACACCAGGGCCATCTCCTATCAAGGATGTGCTGCTCAGGTCTTTTTCTTTCTGTTCTTTATATCAGCAGAATATTTCCTTCTCACCGTCATGGCCTACGACCGCTTTGTTGCCATCTGCAAGCCTCTGCACTACGGGAGCCTCCTGAGCAGCAGAGCTTGTGCCCAGATGGCAGCAGCTGCCTGGGGCAGTGGCTTTCTTAATGCTGTCCTGCACACGGCCAACACATTTTCCCTGCCCCTCTGCCACGGCAATGCTGTGGACCAGTTCTTCTGTGAAATCCCCCACATCCTCAAGCTCTCCTGCTCAAAGTCATTCCTCAGGGAGGTTGGGCTTATTGTAGTTAGTGTTTCTCTAGTCTTTCTTAGTTTTGTTTTCATTGTGCTGTCCTATGTGCAGATCTTCAGGGCAGTGCTGAGGATTCCCTCTGAGCAGGGCCGGCACAAAGCCTTTTCCACGTGCCTCCCTCACTTGGCCGTGGTCTCCCTGTTTCTCAGTACTGGCATGTTTGCCTACCTAAAGCCCCCCTCCATCTCCTCTCAGTCCCTGGATCTGGTGGTGGCTGTTGTGTATGCAGTCTTTCCTGCAGCTCTGAACCCCCTCATCTACAGCATGAGGAACCGGCAGCTCAAGGATGCTTTGTGGAAACTCTTTGGATGCATGCTTCTTCATCACTAATACTGAAGCCCCAATCCAGTCAAGACTCATGTTTTTTCTATAAAATTGTTAGTGTACTGTTTTGTTATACTTTTTTGTAATATATTATACCACATCTTTAGACTTTCATTTAATAATGGTATCTTTATTTTCATATCTCTTAATTACAATTATTAATTAATTAATTAATTTATTTTTCACACAAATATCTCATGTGCCTGTAGAACCATGCCTGCCTTGTAGATAATGTCAATTGAGAAGCTGTCAGAGCCTGATTGGTCTCATTATTCCTCTCTTCCCATCTCCTCTGGAGCTGGGGAGCACCCCCAGCACGCAGGAGGGGCTCGGGGCCAAGAGCCCAGCTGCCACATGCAGGAGCAGCCCCGGTGGCCCTTGGGGCTGCCCCTCCCTGCCCGCTGGGATCTGCCTCTCTGCTGCCTTCGGGTCGGGGCTGCTGCTTCCCTGGAGCCATGGCCATGGCCAGCAGCAAGACGTGGCCTTGTCACTGCTGCTCTCTTTTGGCTTCCACATTGTGCTTCTTTTTTTCTGGGTAAGCCCTGATATCTCATTTAGCTTGGTGACAGTCCTGTTGTCTCTACAGTGGCTGCAGGCAGCAACAGGCACTGTGCAGCCCTGCCTCCCTGCTAGCACCACAGTAACAAAGGGGTTTTATTTGGGGCTTCCTGGAGCGAAGAATATAGACTTAAATTCCAAGGACAGTCTGTGAGGGACCAAAGGCTTGACCAAGAGCTTTATAGCAGCACCTGACAACAACTGGACTCATCTGCATGGCACTGCCCCCCTGCAGTGGGGCTCATGGCCACTGTCAGCCTGGAGAGGATTCTGGAGCTGCCAGGAGATGTCAGGGGATCTACAGGGAGAACATGCAACGCTGAGTTGGTAGGGATTAGAACCTCATAAAATTAATGGCCATCCAAAGAAGAGTTCGGTAAAGAAAAAGGGGAATCTGAGGAGTCCATGGGGTAAGGACAGCCCTGCCATGGCAGGAGTGGTGGTGATGTGCCAGCGGACAAAGACCTTTAAGAGTGTACTGTAATTGAGGATAACCTTCTTGAGGCCTCATGGACCAGGTCTGGTGCAGCACTTGCCTGCCCTTTGTGCCCTCAGAGACACCCCATGGCCCTGCCCAGCACTGCCCTGTGCTGCTGAGCCATCAGGGCAGATGGAAAGGGGCTCAGCAGCAGAGATCCCCATGGACGTAGGTCTGCTGCCCAACCTGAGCAGCATGGGCAGCGGGGGAGACCCCCGGGGGTCCCAGGGCACCACAGCCCCTGGCTCAGCACAGCAACACCGCCAGCTCAGGGCCCTGCAGGGAGCACAGGGAGGGAAGCAGCAATGGCTGACCAGGCCAGCACGGACACACTGCCCTGGGCAAGGCTCTTTGGGAGCAGGGATGGCCCTGGGGAAGAGCAGGGCAGCATTGCTGGGCCTGCACTGGTAGGTAAAGGGAAAGCTCTTTGTGCAGGCCTCTGCTCGGGGCAGGCTGCTCTGTGGCTGGGCCAGGCCTCTTGTGCTGGCCTGGGGAGCGGGGCTGGCCCTGCGGGGCACAGGCACTGTGTGCTGGGGATCTGCCAGGCGAGAGAGCAGGGCTCCTGCAGCTTCACGGACCTCCATCTCCTGGCTCCACGGACACCTCCTTGCTGCATGCATCCAGCAGATAAACACCTATCGGCCACCTGCTTTCTCTTCTTCTAGAGGAACTGGGGACAGAATAACAAAACCAAGTAAAACTCAGAAATTGTGAGCCACAGAAGGCCCTGATGCTGTGCAAGAAATGCTCAAAAACAGCAACCACAACTGTGGGTGACCATCACTGGTCACACAACCAAAACACAGTACCACAAGGGGCTCCTTTGCAGAGAGTAATTCCATCCCAGCCACAGCCAGTACAGGCTCCTGATGGACAAGAAGACTCCCTTTGAACTCTGGAAGGAGCCAGGAAGGTGCTAATAAGCACCAGGACAGCTGAGGAAGCCCAAAGGCCCTTCTGAAGGGTCACTGAGTGCCACCTGAGAGGCAGTGCTGGGCAGTGTGGAGGGCCAGGAGAAAGACTTGGGTGAAAGCTGTGAGAAACAGAGACACTCAGGGCTTTAGCAGCTGTCTGTGGATGGAGTAGGAGAATGAGGTCACTCCTTAGAATTAGGGCAGGGCTGAAGGGCCCTGCGTGTAGCTGGGTGGATGGAGAAGTGTCCACCTTGCATGTGTGCCTCAGCCTGGGAGCAGGGGCCTGCCCATGGTGCGGGATGGCTGGGCTGTGCTCAGCCATGCCCCAGGAGATGACCTTGCTCTCTTCCTCCCCACACGGGGCAGGCCCTCAGGAAGCACCCCTGAGCCTGGAGATGCACCAACCTGCTGCGGTCAGGTGCCACTACTGCAGGGGAAGAGGGGAGGCTTGGAGAGACACGTGGGGCCTGCGGGCAAGAGTGGTGTGGCCTGGGGAAGTGAGTGCCTGGGAAAAGTTACCCTGGAGCCATAGGAGCCATTCTGGAAAGAAAACTTGTTGGCAGGAACCACATTTTGTGGCACTGTAGAGCTGCTGGGCACAATGTGCAGGGTGCTCTGATGGACATTTGTGTCCCATTCCATTGTGTCTTAAGTGCCACTGTTCTCAGGAATAGAGTAGCCAACAGAGCACTGACAGATACTCTAAGATCATGAAAGACATCATAAGCATGTCCCTAAAATGATAACTGATATGGGGAAATCAGGAGAAGCCTGGCCAGGAGAAATGTGAGACTGAGAGGAGGGAATAGGGGTTTGGCCAGCAGAAATTAAGCATTTTGTAGAAGTAAGAGGGTTCAGGTTATGCTGATACGGCTGTAACTGTGACTTAAAATAGTCATACAAGGCTATTCCCCAGCTTCAACCTGTAAACTTGCTTCCTAAAACTAAATGCTACTCAGCACCCTGACAGGAATCCACTACTCTAATGACTGACCTCAACGTATCACCTGAAGACAAAAGTCAGCCCATAGCTGCTTCCCCTAACTCTTACTCTCTTAATCACTCTGATCTCTGCCCTTAATACTAGCATTAAAATGGTCCACTTAACACTAGACAACTGCTTAAGAGACCTAAACAAAACCCTAACACCAAATGAATTCTAGGGGCCATGGATCTGGTCAGCTTGTGGGCCACAAGGAGGAGAAGGGTGGGAATGCTCTGAGGAGCTCAGCTCTGCCTCATCATCTCCTGCCCCAGCAGGAGCAATGTGACTGTGGCAGGGACTGTGAGGCCACTTCTGCCTCTGCAGTTGATAGGGCAGCAGCAGGAACGTGTCATGGAAAGGGACTGGGAGGTCACTTCTGTCTGGAGGTGGCAGGTCAGCCTTGACTTCTCCCTGGGATCTGCACTTTTGGGCTGACATCTGGCAGTGGCCCTGCTAGGCCAGCAGAAGGCACCTGCTTGGCATGCTGACTGGGGGATCCCCTCTGCCTCCAGAGCCAGGAGGACCCAGGCAGAAAGAAGGCCCCCAGATGGGTTGTCCTGTCCCTTCTTCCTGAGTCCATGAGTTGGCAGCAGCAGGCACAAGGCTTGGCTGTGTCTAGCCAAGAAGCTGCAAGGCCAGCAGCAGGCCCCTGGCTTGGAAGCTGCTGCTGAGGTAACTTGTGTCTGGTTGGCTGAGAGGCTGCAAGGAGCCTGCTGGGTTGGGATGCCTACTTCAGGAGGGGTTTCCACTCTGAGGGAGCTTCCTCTGGTAATACGGAAGAGCAGGAGAGAAAAACTTGCCAGGAAGTGTGCCCTGGAGGTTGGCTCTGGCCTTGAGGAGGAAGAAATGTCTCTCAAACTGTCGTGCTGTACTGCCACAGGTCACCCTCTGATCAGACCATGACTTTATCTTTCAAGGAACAGCTGGTGAGGGTTGATGAGATATGGGAGAAAGCAAGGGATGACAGCAAAGTGGTGAACAGAGATGGGTGTATGAAGACTTCAAGGAAATAGGACAAATTGTGTGACAGTGTAGGAAAAGCTACAGAGGAGAAGGCAGAGGGTGCTGGCAAGAATGGAAGGTCCCAACAGCCCTGAAGGTTTTGTCGTCTTGACTAGAGCTTATGAGGAGAGATGTTATACTCGTTGCAATGGGGCCTCATTGATTCCTTTCATCCCTGTGCAGCACCTCAGAGGTGTCATACCAGTGTTCTTCTCATGGCATCACACTGCCCACCACAGCCCACAGACCCCAGCAAGAGCCTTGAGCCAGAAATGAGGGTGCAGGATCTCCCCTCCCAGTGTCTCGGGCCAACCCTTGGCCCTTCTGCATCACCAAAACCAACCAAGACTTTTCTCAGCACAGTGCTTTGCCTGCCTGTAACCATGGCCTCCAATTAGCTGCCCTAACAAGTCCCTGGGGAGGCTTTGTTAGTAACAGCCCTCAGTGGGGCCCATTAATACTCCAACTCACTTCAACTTTTCCTTCTGACTTTACTTTCTCTAGCAGTTGCATCATTCACCTCTCAGTACCTGAGCTTCATAGACTGAACACCAAAATCCACCATGGAACTCATTAAAATGCAGAAACTCCTAACATCTCTTTGATAGTTTTCTTCAAGCCTTTACGCCTTGTGCAGCTAATTGCAGAGCTTGCAAGATGTAGTTAAGGAAGAAGATTTCAAAGAGCAACCACTAAAAATATTTTCTTGTTTCAAAGGCTGAATTTTGCTGCATTTCAGTTTTGAACCTCATTCTCCTATTGCTATTCATCCAGGGTGACTTCTTTGGAGACCTCCATCAGGAGGAAAAGCAGAGTCTGGAGGTCTGACAGCTCCACTGCCAGCAGTGGTCTTTGTCCCTGTAACTGCAGCCCAGCCCAGCACATGAAACCCTTTCTAAAACAAGTCACATTTTTTGGGGGGAGGGGGATAAAGTAAAATAAAATAAATCCAAAAATAAAATAAAATAAATCCAAAAATAAAATAAAATAAAATAAAATAAAATAAAATAAAATAAAATAAAATAAAATAAAATAAAATAAAATAAAATAAAATAAAATAAAATAAAATAAAATAAAATTAGATTAAATTAAATAATAGAATATTAAAATTGAAATAACCATTGGAATCTGAGAAATTCAGCTTAAATCTTAGTAGACTCCTGGACATCCATGGTGTCTCGGGTTGTCTGTGGAAAACTCAGGAAGAAAGATAAAGAAAATATATCTTCAAGTGGCTGTAGCTGTACCCATGAGCTTGGCCTCTTTTGGGAAATCATCTCCTTCAAGCCACAGAAACCTAAACTGAGTAATGTGAAAAGATGTGCCCAGTCAATAGAGTAGGGCAGAGTCCTATTTCCTGTGCTATAGATGCAGAAGGCAAAAAGAATTGCATTGTGCCTGACACTACTCAAGGACGTGTAACCCAGGTCAGGCAACTTTACCTTAGTGCTGACAAGTTCATCACTACACCACGCTACCAAGTTCTACAACTACACCTTGGCTCTCCAGTCAATGAACCAGCTCATGGATGGCAATCAGGGAGTCCTGCTTAGCATGATGCTGCCTCAGGTGCACCACCATGGTAGCCATTGGCACCTGTTGTTCTTCAACCCTCAGCAAACCCACGACAGAAGGATTCTGTGGAAGACCATGTAAGGTAGACAATTTTTTAATGTCCCCAATCCCCAAGGTAGCTATGCCAAAGCTCCACCAGTAGTGCCCTCTTGGAACTTTGAAGTACTCTCTTCTGAATCGGTCTATGCCGAGGATGCACATAGCCTCTGGACTGGTCCCAATGGGGTGCTTTTGCCATTCCTTCCCAGTTAGACTCCCTTCAGCCTCCAGACAGTTAACTGCTGGGATCCTCCTGTCACTCCAGAAATACAGGTGGGTTCTACCTCTTTAAGTCTTGATGGCATTAGGGTACACTGTGCACCGGTATCCAGTAGAGCCTGACACATTTGTGGGTGTGATGTGCCAGGCCATTAAACATACACAGTCCAGTAAACTCGATTGTTCAGAAACACCAGGAGAAGCATCGCAAGGGGTGGTGCTGCTGGTGAAGACACGTTTGTGGCAGCAGCCTGAGTGGGCAGCAGCTGTGCGCAGGTGAGGGGAGGCCAGGAAGCGCATGCCAAGAGCGCTCCTGCCAGCAGAGACAAGGCCGGGGCCGAGGCCAAGGGCAGAGGCAGACCCAGTGCAGGGGGCTGAAAGGGCCATGCTGAGCTCCGTGCCACTGCAGCAACCGCACTGGCCCTCAGCAGATGTGCTTGGAGGTCCTGGCATGCATCAGAGAGCAGGAAGGAGGGCGCTGGAAAGGGCTGGGGCCAGGCAGGTGGCAGAGCCGAGCCCCATGCAGGGGCTGGCTGGGGGTCCCCACTGCTGCAGCCAGCACACACAGCGTGGCAGGAGGAGAGCAGGCAGGGCTCGTGGCCATGGGGCATAGCCTGGCCCTGGGCTCTTCCTGAGGTTTCTTGCAGCTCCTGGCAGGCTGCAGTGAGGGTGCAAATGCCCTGGGCCCCCTTCCTGCTCTGCCCAGGCCAGCAAGGGTCCAGAGCGGCCTCCTCTCCCCTGCCCCTGCAGCTCTGGGCTCCCTTCATGCAGCCCTGGCTATGCAGCACCAAACCCTGCTGGGAGCCCTCCCCTGCATGCTGCCACCACTCCCTGATGCTGCTGTTGCCCTCTGCCAGGCACTGCCCAGCCCAGCCCAGCCCAGCAGCCCAGTCTGGGCTGGCCCCAGAGCAGTTCCCACCGCAGGCTGCTGCAGGGCTCTGGGCACGGCCACCACAGACCCAGCCCCTCGCAAGGCACCGCAGCTGCTGGGACAAAGGTGGCTCTGGGCCTCCCCAGCAGCCCCCACACTGGGGCCAGCCACGGCTTGGGAAATGGAGGTCCGTGAAGCTGCAGGAGCCCTGCTCTCTTGCCTGGCAGATCCCCAGCACACAGTGCCTGTGCCCCGCAGGGCCAACCCCGCTCCCCAGGCCAGCACAAGAGGCCTGGCCCAGCCACAGAGCAGCTCCAGAGTCCTCTCCACGATGCCATTTGCCATCAGACCCAGCAACTGCAGGAAATGCCCAGGCCAGTCAAGCCCAGTTATTATTTTTTGCTGGGCCATGTGCTTCCAAGAAGTCAGATCCCAGTCCAGCCCTTTGTCCTCCTGTGATCACTATGGGACTTTGATCCATCCTGAAGCCCAGAAAAGCAAGAGGGCTGTCCAGGGAGAATCTCCTTGGGTGTATTTCTGACACCAGCTTTAGAAGAGGCGTACAGAGATGTGGCGGAGATGCCACTGTAGGTACATCAGGAAAGTCACGAAGGTGCATGAGATCTCGTGGCTAACCCACATACAAGAGCACAAGAGAACAATGTAGAGACCAAAAGAGAGCAACAGTGACAAGGCCACGTCTTGCTGCTGGCCATGGCCATGGCTCCAGGGAAGCAGCATCCCCGACCTGAAGGCAGCAGAGAGGCAGAGGCCAGCGGGCTGTGAGGGGCAGCCCCGAGGGCCACCAGGGCTGCTCCTGCATGTGGCAGCTGGGCTCTTGGCCCTGAGCCCCTCCTGCTGCTAGGGCTGCTGAGACCAGCAAATTCCTGCTGGAGTCTTTATTGAGAGTAGTAAGATTTTTGGTTAAATACACATATATAATTATAATAATTAACTGGTAGGAAACTAAGAGAATTCAGAATGTTCAGAAATAACTTCAGAAGACAGTATAAAAGGAAAATAATACAAAAGATTATCTTACTAGATTTATTTATTTTTTAAAGACTCTTGTTAGGACTGTGGTCCCATTATAAATTATAAAGAGGCCTATACCCAGGGTTTCCTCAAGGCTTCCTTGAGCTCCTGGTTCCTCATGCTGTAGATGATGGGGTTCACTGCTGGAGGCACCACCGAGTACAGAAATGACACCACCATGTCCAGGGATGGGGAAGAGATTGAGCTGGGCTTCAAGTAGGCAAACACAGCAGTGCTGACAAACAGGGAGACCACAGCCAGGTGAGGGAGGCACGTGGAAAAGGCTTTGTGCCGTCCGTGCTCAGAGGGCATCCTCAGCACTGCCCTGAAGACCTGCACATAGGAAAGAGCAATGAAAACAAAACAACCAAACCCCAAAGAAAAACTAAACACAAGTGCCCAAACTTCCCTGAGGTAGGCATCTGAGCAGGAGAGCTTGAGGATGTGAGGGACTTCACAGAAGAATTGGTCCACAGCATTGCCGTGGCAGAGGGGCAGGGAAAATGTGTTGGCTGTGTGCAGGACAGCATTGAGAAAGTCACTGCCCCAGGCAGCTGCTGCCATCTGGGCACAAGCTCTGCTGCTCAGGAGGCTCCCGTAGTGCAGGGGCTTGCAGATGGCAACGTAGCGGTCATAGGCCATGACAGTGAGAAGGGAATACTCTGCTCCAACCAAGAAGAAGAAAAAGAAGACCTGTGCAGCACAGCCTTGATAGGAGATGGCCCTGGTGTCCCACAGGGAGTTGACCATGGCTTTGGGCAGAGTGGTGGAGATGGATCCCAGGTCGAGGAGGGCGAGGTTGAGGAGGAAGAAGTACATGGGGGTGTGGAGGCGGTGGTGGCAGGCTACGGCGCTGAGGATGAGGCCGTTGCCCAGGAGGGCAGCCAGGTAGATGCCCAGGAAGAGCGCGAAGTGCAGGAGCTGCAGCTCGCGCGTGTCTGCAAATGCCAGGAGCAGGAACTCACTGACAGAGCTGATGTTGGGCATTTGCTGGCTCTGGACACAGTTGTCTGCTGAAGAGGAGAAGGCAGAACAAATTTACAACAATTTACAACAATTTACAACAAAGCAGAGGAAAACCTACTACAAGCCTTAAAGCACCACTCCACCTGTGCCTCTCTCTTTGCAGGAGAACGTCTCTGCAGCTCTCTTGCTTGGGCTCTGGCTGGTGCTGGTTGAGAGTGGCACTGGGAGCACAGGCTGCTGTGGGCTGTAGATGAATCCTTCCTGCTGTGCAGCAGGAAGGAAGCAGGAACATGTGGGAAATTCAAATTCAGTCCACTTCTCAGGTCAATGAGATTTGCAGTGTTGTTGGAAACAACTCATCTGTGTCCAGAGTTCAAGAAGCCATTACCCACTACTCTTGTTCTAAGCTGCCCTGTATCTCCCGTCTTTGAGATGCAGGACCATCCCACTCCGTTTTTTCCCTGAGAAGAAACTGGAGAAAGCTGAGGGCAGAGAACACCAAGTCCAAGTGCAGCTGGATAGAAAACTCAGCTTGTCTCTGGGGTTCTGAGCAGGACCTCGGCTCTTCCTGCTTCACTTCACACTATGCTGCTCACAGACAGCCATCCAGCAGCACAGACAGGGCCTTAGCACGTACGTGTCGTGTTCTTGGGGCACCTGGATAACACAAGGATGCCAAGAGAGAGCTGCATCCTGCTGGATAGCAGCCTGAAGACCAGGAGGATGCCCCATGAAAAGAGCTGGATATCCACAGGCTGGGGTGGCCCAGCATCCCAGCTGCACCCCTGCAATGTCTGGAGGAGGCTTGGCCAATCTGCTCATGGCTGTCCAGGGGCAGCTGGCTTAGGGCACTCCAAGAGGCTTCTGCCAGACTTCCCCACCTCGCACTGCAATCCAGCAGGACTCTCAAAGCCTACTGCATTGCCCACTGCCCTCCCAGAAACAAGACCCAGCAGGAGACCCTTCCTGGACCTGCAGCTGCATGGCCCTGCAGCCAGACCCTTACCTTGTCAAGGGCAGTGCAGGTTTCTCCTGCAGGCAGCTCTCAGCATCCTCCCACTCCCAACTGTCTCCAAGCCCTCTCTCCTTCTCTCCTCTCTCTGTGCCACCTGTGGTCAGAGCCTCCAGCCCTGCTGCGCTGTGCAGAGGAGCTGCTCCTGGGCAGAGTTGTCTCTCTGCACCAGGGCCCTCTTGCTATGAGCTCTCTCTGTCCCAGGAGTCCAGCCCAGCTCAGCACTAGAGGCCCAGCCCAAGGCACTGCAATCACCCCTCTGGGGGCTTGGCTGATGAGCCCACAAACCTCAGGCACTCAGAGACAATTGAAGACATCTCTCCAGAAGTCCAAGTCAGAGGCAAGTTTCCTGTAGTATCCCCCTGAGGGCCAGCACTGACACAGTCTTCCTTGGAGCTCATTAGAGCAGAACATTGGAGGCAGTGAGGACAAGGAGACAAAGACAGTGTGAAGGTGACACTGATGTGTGGACAAACTGGATGTGTGTCACCAAGCACAAGGGCCAGGCCTTGACCTCCAGCCCGTGGGAAGGGAGAACCTTTCCCTTCCCACCTTGCTCCGGGCTCTTCCTGGGGCAGTAGGAGATGTGCAGGAGAATGGTACGACCCCTGCCTGGTTCTTCAGGGGAATAAGGAGGCCCTGGTACTTTAGCAATGAGCTGTCTCCTCATAGGCCTCAGTGACAGAGACAACAACCACAGGCATGGACACAAAAATCTCAGTTTGTTGGGACTTTCAGCCTTGCCTATGTCCTTGCTCCTCTGATGACCAGAGTATCTTAGTGTCTTCCAGACCTGCACCTCTTTCCCTGTTTCCTGTAGACCTTTATTTGTGTGATGTCACATCAGGTCTTAGCTGAGTAGCTCATACGAGATCCCTCGTGGTGCCCAGACCCTCCTCCTCCTGGGCACTGCTCACTCAGCAGGGTCCCAGTCTGCCCTGATGTGTGGGGTTACTCTTCCTCTGGTGTAGGACGAAGCTCTTCTCTTTGTAAATGTCAAGGTGTTCCTTTAGGCAAAATCCTGCAGTTTCTCAAGCTCCCCCTGCACTGATGCTCCATTCTGTCAGCCATTCATGGCTGCAGGCAGATGGTTCAACTTTCGTGTGATTGTGCTATTTCTGACAAGACAGCAGCATCAGGAGTTGCAGGAAATTTTGGATAACACAGGAGTAACCAGTTAATTGGAATTGCTGCACAGAGTCACAGAAGGGTACGGGATGGTAGGCTGCCAGGTTCCACCTCTTCCCTGCTTCCTTCTCATGCATGCTGTCAGTTTGTCTGGAGCTGTGTCCTGAATGTTCTGGGGTTGTGCAGGTCAAAATTAGAAGGACCAAAGCCCAGCTGGTGCTAAATCTGTCTATTACTGTCAAAGACAATAAAAAACTGTTTATATAAACACTTTAAATAAAGGAGGATTAAGGAGAATCATCATTCTTGTTAGATGTTGGGAAAATCTGGTGCTGGTCTGGAGATAAGGTAGAGGCTGAGGTACTTATGTGGGCCCATGAAGACCCATCTTGGGACCTTCTTTCTGTCTGGGTCCTCCTGGGTATGTAGGCAGAGGGGATCCCCCAGTCAGCATGCCGAGCAGGTGCCTTCTGCTGGTCTAGCAGGGCCACTGCCAGATGTCAGCCCAAAAGTGCAGCTCCCAGGGAGAAGTCAAGGCTGACCTGCCACCTACAACACAAGTGACCTCCCAGTCCCTTTCCGTGACACGTTCCTGCTGCTGCGCTATGAACCACAGAGACAGAAGTGGCCTCACAGTCCCTGCCACGGTCACATTGCTCCTCCTGTGGCAGGAGATCCTGAGGCAGAGCTGACCTCTCTCTAGCCCCCTAGGTGCCTGGTTTTCAGTGGCCCCGAGCCCTGCCTGCCCTCCTCCTGCCACGTGCCATCAGGCGGCTGCAGCAGAGGGGACCCACAGCCAGCCCCTGGCTGGGCTCTGCCACCCGCCTCTCCAGTGCCATCCCTGCTGCCTTGGGGTGCTCTGTGAGGTGCTGGGTGACCTCACAAGGCCTGCTGGACAGCACATCTCCTGCGAGGCAACCAGGCCGTAAAGTGACAGGGACCTCACCACATCCCTTCCATTCCCCTCTCTTCCCTCATCCCCGGCCTTGTCTCTGCTGGCACGAGCAGCCTTAGGAGGCGCTTCCTGGCCTCCCCTCGATACTGAGCTGAAAGGCAAAATGGTCTCTTCCTTGACAGAACAATGGCGTCAAATTTGAAAAACTTCATTAGCAGATAGGTGAAAACTTTACTAGGTTTTGTTAGAGAGAAGGAAGTTTAGAAACTTTCATCCCTCATGTTACTTTAGTCACTAATTAGTCAGCTTTATCTATAAGAGCCTACAGACTTGTATCTCAGACTGAGGGCAAGGTGACCCAGGCCTAGAGCATGTGTCAGAAGATTAGGTGAGAAATTCATGCTATGCATATATCCTTGGATGTGTAACCACCTAAGCTTTGTATGCACACCTGAGATGAAAGAATAAGAGAAGAAAGATTTTGATGGCTTGAGCATGGACAAGAACTGGATTCAACTAACGAACATAGTGAGGAAGACTACCGATGACCACCAGAGACCCCTGAGAGACAGTGGAAACAAATGTGCATGTGTCAGCGACACTTACTGATTTTCATGAGTTACAGGAAGTGGTATGAATATATTTTGGGGAAATGTGATTAACATGTATGTTTTGCTTGTATATAACCCCTGTAGCTCAAACAATTCTGTAAGCACTGGAGTGATCCCGTGTGTCCAGCACCTCCATAAAAAACACCTGTTTTCTAAAACTCCAAACTGAGTCTTAGAGAGTTATTTTGACTGGCTTTTACAGTATCACCCTCACCTCCTGCCAGCTGCTGCCCACTCAGGCTCCTCGTACAAACGTGGCCCTGCACCAACACCACTGCTCGTGCTGCCTTTGCTGCCTCACCCTGTCCTCTCCCTCGACTCCTTGTCTCTGCCGGGCCCCACGTTCCACACCCAAATGTATCCCTTTGCTGTTGTCACCCTCAAGTCTGCCCAGCGGGATGGCAGAGCCAGGGCAGGACATGGTAGAGTTAGTCCCTGTAGCACCCATGCAAAGCGCTTGTGGCAAAGTGGGAGCTGAGATTGGGTTCTGTGGTGCAGAGGAGGCCCCATGCAGAAAAGATGAGGTTAAACAACAAATTGTGGGTGGGGGGCGGTCCATCGTGGTTTGGCATGAGAGGCTTCTGGCCACGAAGGGGCAAGGGATGGGTTGACACAAATTCTCTGGGCAACCTGTTCCATTGACCAACACCCCCAAAGGAAAGAATGTCTTTCTTATACCTAATTTTAAAGCACCCTCTTTTAGGCCCCCTTTAGGTACTGGAAGGCTGCTATAGGGTCTCTCCAGCCTGAAGAGAACCAGCTTTCTCAGCCAGTCTGCATTGAAAAGATGCCCCAGCCTCTCTATCATGCTTTTGGCCTCTTCTAGACTTTTTCTAATACTTCCATGTCCTTCTAGAATTTGGGGCCCCAGAGCTGAATGCAGTACTGAAAAGCAGAGCTGAGGGAGAGAATCAACTCTGTCAACCTTTGGGCCAAACTTGATTGATGCCACCCAGACTGCAGTTGGCTTTCTGGGCTGCAAATTCACATTGCT